ACATCGACCCGTTTATTCCCTACTGCATTTTATTCGCAACTGATGGTGTTAATCGGAGATAAAATATAGAATGCGTATTCGCCACCAGCAACCACAGTTCTTCAAAAGACAATAGGATTTGACGAATAATGATGTTTTATCCCAACTTCATGTATTGGTTTTTATTACTATTGCTTTAGAACTGTTCATATATTTGAATCTGACCCACTTATTGGTATTTACATTGCATATATTGGTTCCTAGATCAATATTACTGGACCATACAAATTTCGAAGTCAAAAAATTTGAGTTTCGCGAATTTTTTTTAAATAATTTGTTTGTCGGATTTTGGTTTTTATAGTTTTTAAGGTTCTGTCCTCGCGTTATATTTTGCAAAACCTCTTCTTTATTATTCTAAACATATTTGGGATGTTTTGAAGCCCCAATGACTATGTTTAATACTCTCATCTTAAGATTAGGACGAGAAAATACCAAATATTAAATGAAATACTGATGGAGAATGTATTGAATGTAAATGTGAGAAAATACCCACGAAAAAATGCCGTGATGTAATGAAATCGTGGTCAAATCGCTTATAGTATGTGGTTAACCGCAATTGTAACTATAAAAAGACCAAACGTGTCCAATGTAACAATTTTTTCTAAAATAATAATAAAAAGCAAAATACTTTTTTGTGATAAACATTTTTGGATTATTATATATTTCGGCCGATATAGACCAATAGGTCTTTCGCTGTGATTCTTGCAGAAATACGATCTAAATATGTCCACAAATGTACTCCATCATACATAAGTCATTTTACATCGTTTGTTTGCTGGCTTCAGGCGTATAAATTGGAATTTTTTCAAATTTTTATTGAGGCAAAATACTTTTTACACTCACTGTATGTATATGATGACATTATTTTTTCGAACTAAAAACAAATATTTTTCCTCAATATCTTGCTTTGTTGTCGCTGTGATTTAGAAACCGCTACACGGACATTTTGATATCATTTTATTCATCATGGTGTTTAGATTATGTAGATATTTTTAAACTAATTTTTAGGTTTGTGTATGTCATTAATATAATGAAAATATTTACGTAATCTCCTACATTGTCTTTATTTTTCTCATATTTCGCGAAGATGTGCAACTTTTTCGCGATTATTATAATATATTCATATTCTTATTTTACGGAGGAAGATATATATCAACGTTTCTGGTCAATATAATAAACGGCGTAATTTTAAGATTTTTTTCTTATGCCCAAAATTAAAACCTCGATAACTTTTGCGCGCATCAACCAAAAATTTGATCGCGAACGGTTTCGGAGTCAGAACATTTTTCTCTATATGTGTACCAAAAATCATTGATGTGCCACAAAAACAAAAAAGCTGATTTTTTGAAAATGGAATATTAAAAAATTGGCAATATTGCCCATATATGGCCCGAACGGCAAAACTTTACGACATTTTTAATTGTTATTTATACCCTCAATATTATGACAACAGGTTATATGTAAACCAGTAAGAAATTTAGTAAAGTCGGACGGTTCGACCTTCACCACTTTGGGTTTATTCAACAGATCCTAGATTTTAAGTAAATGGTGCACAGTTTGGCCGATTGGCACACAATTTTGCAAAACTTACTGATGTTTCTATAGGCTAAGTTTTGTTGAAATCGTTTCAAATTTACATATAGATACAAATCACATATTTGAGGGCATCCTATTTCATGTCAATGTTCCTTCAAAACGGCAATAGGACGAACTGAAATACGTGATTTGTATCTATATGTGAAAGGAATAATTTATATACGGATGAATTTATATGTGAAAGCTATATCTAAATTTGAATCGATTTCAACGAAACTTTGGCTATAGAAACATCCGTAAGTTTTGAAAAATTGCGTGCCATTCTGCCAAACTGTGCACCATTTATATAAAATCGGACGAAAATATATATGAAAGTTTTATCTAAATCTAAATCGAGTTAAGAGCTATCAATACATTTTGGATCATAATCTAACATTTCCAGAAAAATTATTAAACTCATCGTGCTATTTAAATAAATTATTTTTTCTTGCTCATTAGATCCGTATTCATCAAAGTAATAAAAAAACATTTCAATAAATAATATTTGTTTTGGTTGCCTCGTTTTTGTTTTTTCTTTTATAAAAATAACACCAATTGAAAACACAAAAAAAAAACCTATGCAAATCAAATAATCCTTCAAATGAATTGATTCACTTATTGCAACACAACTAACCCATCATTTGACACTTTCCTCCCCCATCCCCCATACAACGGGATAACGCAGTGTCATTTTTTTACCAGTTTTGTTTAAATCGAACAACACACTCTTTTCAAAGTTTTATCAACATTTCACATTCATTCGGAATTCATATGGCCCCAACAAACTGTTTGACAGGGAGTCGAAGGACAAACTGACGAACGAGCTAAATATTTACACTTCCAACATATGTATGTGTGCCTGTATGTATGTGTGTGTGTGTTACTGTGTTGTTTATCCTACCCATAGAGGGCAATCAGTTATTGTCCATTCGTTAAGGACAACTAAGACAAGAGGACACTTGATGTAGTTACAAATGCCAAACTGCAGAAAAAAGGTAAGCACACGAACAAACCCATTCTCTCCCTCTTACACACACACACATACATATACACCTGTATTTGCATTTGTCCTTTTTTCCACTTCAGCTGCAATCAAATATAACAGCAAATGCTTTGCAGCTCTGAACTGACCCAAAGGCTGTATCAACGATGAGCCAAGTGCATTTTTTTATCTTCATTGAATGTCCTTCTCGGTAGTGGTGGTGGTTTATATTTTGTTAAGTTGAAGTGCCAAATATTTAAAACAAAAACTCAAACATTTATTTGAAATGGACAAATTCAGTCGATGTTTATATAACTAATAGAACTAGAACAAATTAGGCAAGCTATGTATAATTTCATGTAAATCGGACAGTTTTATCTTATTTCATATGATAAAATTAAATTTAAGTAAACATGACTAAATGTATATGGTAGCTATATCTAAAACTGAACCGATTTTCATTAGTTTGAATAGGAATCGGCCGTGGCCCGACCGTTTGTTTACAACGGACATGCATAAATCGATTTACAAATTGATGTAAGAATATTTCCAAAAGTAACTATCGGTCTAACTCATTGGATAGCCTTTAATATTATGAATATATGATATTGTAGATGTAAGCACAAAAATGTCGGGATCTTTTTTTATTTCTGGAAATATGTTTACCATCATTGAGGAAGCCAGAATGATAAATTAGGGCACTTCGTTTGGAAAAGGGAGTTAAAACATCAAAAAATATCGAATATGTTGAGAGCTTTTATATGGAGGCCATTTCAAAACAAAGATGGAAAATTACTGTTCGTTCGGCTGGAAAATGAGTCTGGGATTAATAAAATACAAAAAAATGGTCTGGACCTTTCAATAGGTCCTATGTTAAAGCAACGGCCGATAGTAAAAGCTTCAAAGGCGACAGCTAACGAAATTAAAAAAAAATAACCTCTTAGTTGCCTCTAAAGACCCTGAATTGGCCCTATGGGACCTCAACAAAATCGTCGATTGTCAAATGACTTTTGAACCTCAATTACTCTTTTGATCATAAAATACGACTGATGGTCATTCTCTGAAGATCTTCTACAGATCTTCTACTATATCCAACCTTTGGTAATATTCTATTGCCTTCATTTTGTATAGATTTTGTAGGTTTTATACAAAACTTTGAAGAGCAGAGATTTTCTGACACAATTTAATTCTCTTGAACATGATTTCTTGAACGCGTTATATAACCAAAAAGGGGTAGCTTCTTCTACGAATTATTGCACTTTCAAAATTTGGCCTGTCCTTTATTTATTGCGAAGGGTCGCTTACGCGACGTAACCTTCAAGTATTTAAGTAAAATTAAAGAAACAAATTCTTCGACTTCCGACTTCGATGCTCATATGTAAAATTACAGAATACTGAAATTTGGTAGGTACCGACATATTGGCCATACGTTAAAAAGTGGACCCATATTTATAATCTTAAACCAGTAAGAAAAGTCGGACTGGACCGACTATATGATACCCTTCACCACTTTGGGTATATTCTACATATGTATCCGTCGCCTTCTCGAAGGGATATTGACATGAAATTGAACGAACATAAATCTAAATCTAACCCATGCAGAACAACAACAACATCAAGTGTAAATACCAATACAGAAGAAACCACAAAATTTCTGTAAATACACTTGTCATAAGCGAAAAAAATATAAAAGAGGTTATTAGAAATACTTCGACACACAATACATTCAAAAAAATTGTGTGCCGGTCGGCCAAACTTTGAGTCTCTAGTGCACAATTTACATTAAATCGAAAATATATTTTCAAAAAACATTTTTTGTCAAATTTCGTGTTCTTGTAGATGAATTTTCACGAAGAAGATTTTATTTTATCCGAAACGTAAAAAAACATTACTGATCGCGGGTACCCTTATCAGTCAATTAAGAGATCTAAAAATTTGGGCCGAAAAATAGTTTTTTTTTTTAGAAAATTGATCGAACAAACTGTTCACCTTTGGATGAGTATTACTCTGAAACTGTGCATACAACATACACAATATATATATATATATATATATCAAATTACTCATAATCGCGACAACAATAATCTTATAATCGATATTTAGAAGTTCCTGTTTGTGCCTTAAAACTAGAAGTAAAATTCAAAAGACACTCAAAATCGAGCTTCAAAATGTCAGCATCATTTAAAGGTAGATGCAGATAAAAATTTTAAAAATTTTACATAAGGGACTTTGATACGAAGACCGTGAAATGCGTGGCTTAGTCGGGAAACATATATGGGGTGCCCATTTTTGTTTCATATTACAACTTACAAAAAAATCCGCATAATAATCAGGGACATTACTTATAATTTCTAACAAATAATATTAAATTTAATTGTCTTATATTTCGTAATAGTGTACTTACCACATTTACAAAATCTTGAAATGTTACATAACCTGGTCCAATGGGTGATTTAGCCTTTTTTGCTCTCTCCGTTAATAGCTCTCGTTTATTCATAGGCACTTGTGATATAAATTCTGGCGATTTTAAAGCATTTAAAAACTCCTCGACAGTTATTTCGCCAAATCCTTCGGGATCAAACTGTTGTGGTAAGAAATAAAATTAAATAAAAACTTTTAAGGCATAACTATATATGAATATAAAAAAATGTAGAAACTTACCATGTCAAATAACAGCTTCCATTTCTGAAAAAAAAATATTGAAAATGAACATTAATAAATATGTTATATTCAACAGATTTTTTTATCAAGAATCGCAAAATTAAAACACCGAACAAATTGGAAGGCTTGGGTAGAAAAATCAAAATACGTAATATTAATGTATGGGACTATCTTCAAATTTCCTCCAAAAATGTGGTTTAGACTCCAATATCAGGGAATGCAAAACTACAATGGGAAAATGCGGCTAAAAACTTAAAATACTAACATTGGGATGCTACCCTTGTATGGGAGCTTTGTCAAAACATAGGCCTATGCTGATCTCTGTATATACATATATGTATTTGTGCCTTCGAGAACTGTTTATACCAAATAACAACCACATCGGTGGTATAATTCAGATAAATTTTCAAAATAACTGGTAATGGTAAAAAACTGGTAATGGTAAATTTGGTAGAAGGATTTGACACGCCATGAGAACCTGAAAAATGAAATTTGAGTCAATTTGGTATAAACCTCCTGTTAATAACGAAATATATTAGTTCACATTTTGGAATATGACCTATATAAAGAATTGTTCATTTTGTAATAACATATTCTGTTTATTCGATTTATGTCCTGACAACAGGCACTGCTAGTAATTTATTAATTTCTAAAGTTAATTAAATCATAATTCTATTTTCTCTTCAACTTACATCTCGCAGCAACTCTCTGCGTAGTTCGGCCTCATCAAAATCCGAATTCAGTGATGTGTGTTCAGTATCATAACCAGCATCGTTGGTACCCTGCAACAAAAATTGTAATGAAAAAGTTTATTTTTATTGTTTAATATTACAAAGAAATCATTCTCAAATACGTACATATCGTGGCTGTGTCTGTGATATCGAACCAATGGAGACCAAAGAACCGGCTATTGTCGATATAGCCGGTTCTATATCGGCCATGGTTTCCTGTTGACTACCAAGACCATCAATGGTGGTAGATTCTATTGCAGCACGAGTGGTCCACATTATAAAACAATTTACACCGTAAATGCTATCTCCTTCCAATTGGTACTTGGATGAAGCAGTTTCTGTTACCAGCTGACAATTCCATTCATGGGCTGTTTATTGTGTAAAATTGTTACTGCATTCGATGATTTTGGTTTTTCTTTGTACGCCTGAAAATATGCAAGATTTTTGTAAAATTTTTGTATGTGACATGAGGAAAGACAATGGAGTACAAACAAGTGAAAAAAGCGTTGGATACCCTCCACCATAGCTATACTGACAGATACTTGAAATGAAAATATAGGGAAAATACCACAAAGAACCTATACCGATAATTCTACAAACGGATTTATGTAAACCATTATGTACACGAAATAAAAATTTCAGCAATTTTTAATGGGGATTTTTCTAAAATCTGAAACCCCAAAGCGTGGGGTGCATGGTAGAATAAAAAATCCTCAAACCACTGCAATTTAAATTGCAAAGTTATATGAGGCTTTGTTATGTATCTCAATTCTTCCCTTCCGGAATTATCATTATATGGATGAGATGCCTGAATGCCTGCCGATATACATGAAATAAAACTTTCAGAAATAATTATGGATATTTTTCCTAAAAACCCCAAAAAGTGGATCGATACTGATGACGCATTGTAGATACTGACGATGCATTCAAAATACTGCTATTTAGAGGTTTCAGTCATATAAGACCATCAACACAGGTTTTATATAGTTCATTCTCGAACCTCACATTCTTATTTTTTTATTTCGATATCCTCCGCAGATAGAATGATTACAACAAAGTCTAAGAACCCAACCCAAAACGCGGAACAAATGGGACTACCCCTAAAAGGGGGCGAATATTAATAATTTTTGAGAAGGAGGTTTGTTACCATATACGACAACAAAAAACCAAATTACAAAGAATTTGGTTGAAAAACGCGTTCAAGAACGCCAAAATACCGAACATTGGGGGGTATCCTTATATGGGGGCTACCCGAAAAAATTTACCTATATTTATAATTTATATTGGAGAGATTTGCTACCCAATAAGAACTCGAAGTACTAAATGACAGTCAATTCGGTCGAAAAATACGATCAGAACCCCCAAAGTACCGAAAAAAATTTGGGTACCGTTGGTAATTTGGTACCTAATAAGAACCCAATGTAAAAAATATCAGCGAATACAGTTATAAAACGCGCCCAAGAACCCCAAAATACCGCAAAATTGGGAGTACCCTTATATGGGGGCTATCCGAAAATATGGAACCATATTTATAATTTTTAGTGGAATTCTGGGAATTCAGTTGAAAAACGCGCTCAATAACGTTTATATGGGAGCCACGCCTAAACGTAGACCGATGTAGCCCATCATCGAACTTGGCCTACCTGCAAATAAAAGACGACTCTATGCAAAATTTTGGCGAGCTATCTCAATACGTTTAGACGCTAGAGTGATTATAACAGATACAATATATATAGAATATATTGACCTCCAAACTTTAGCTGTGTCTATTTTAATGTAAAAAAATGTGTATAAACAGGTTGAGGCGAACCAGTTTTTTATGTTCCCTATCGATTTGTGATTAAGCCACTCATTTCACGGTCTTCGTGTCAAAATAAAACTATAAGCCAACAAAGTGGGGACTACGCCCCTTATGTATCATTTTTCAAAATTTTAACTGCATCTACCGTTGAATGATGCTGACATTTTGAAGCTCGATTTTGAGTGTTTTTTTTAAGGGTGCATACCGAAATCCAATGCGCGTTAATGGCATATGGAGTTTTCGGAAATTATTCGCGTTTTACGATTTTTTGGGTACTTCAATGTAACGTGTGGCACATCTTAGCCGTCAAACGAAATTTCGCAAAATATACATTGATTGGAAGATAAACTTCAGTACATCCTTGAAACCGCATGCGCATCAACTGATTTTGATAATTACGCGATTTAGACGCAAATTAAAATGTATATATATATATATATATACAGAACCCCAATCTTGGTACAATCCGCAAGGTGTATACTTATACACAAGAAGTGATTATTTTTATGTCAATTTTTCGGCGAAATTCGGGTAAAATAGTAGAATAACCCCAAAAAGCTGATTTTTTGAAAATGGAATATAAAAAATTGGCAATATTGCCCATTTATATTTTATAAGGTCGGAAATGATTATTACCCTCCCTATCTAAAATCGTATGGGCGACATTTTTGTAAGGACGAAAAAGATGCACAAGGATTTCATAAAGAAGGAGGATATATTTTACAAAAATATTCCCAATACGATTTGATTGCAGAAATTTCATCTCAAATATAACCCTTGTGCTTCTTGAACTTTAGAGTAAAAACCAAAAAATTACCTATGATAAATTTGTCCCTCTGTGTTCCAAATATACTCGCCAAGAGCGTTAAAAACTGACTCCAGTATTAAAATATGGGTCGAGAAATGAAATAATCTTAAATTAATATAAAAAACGAATTAATGTATACTGGCAATGTTCTGCAGTTTTCCACTTACTGGGATTTGTAAGTGTCATGTCATTCTTTTGAGATAATTTTCGTCAAATCATAACTTGAACCAGTAAGGAAAGGTCAAAAGTCGGACGGGGCCGACTATATGATACCCTTCACCACTTTGGGTACATACAAAAAATGTTAATATCTACAATATCCTGTAGATAGAACAGACATAGAATCTTTGGAGGACCATTGAATTATACTTGAATTCGATGTGCAATGTTGCCAACCATGTGAAATATTATAAGGAAAATTTTGTCAAATGATCGAGAACAAACAAAAAAGGTTGTTGTTGTGAGACATCACCTTATTATTGCATCAGGATTGAGATGGAATCGGGCGAAATTAAATGTGCTATCTAGATAGATATTTGAACCAATTGAAAAAAACTCATACACTCTAAAATCAATGAAAAATTGCATGTCAAACGGGCCGACTTGGATTCATTGGTGTACCATTTGTATGAAATCGAGTAAAATTATTTATAGGAGCTATATATAAACGCATGGACCTAATTTAGCAACCGTTTGTTTTTTATTATCACTCTACATTCAATTTAATACCATCGGCCAAATTTCGTGTAAATCGAACAAACATAGGCCCGTCGGTGCACCAATTACATAAAATCGAACGAAAATATATAAGACCTATGTCAAAATCTGAACCGATTTCAACAAACCTTATCACACATCATTTTTCCTCAATTGCGCTCGGAAAAATCGGAAGAAACTATATATGAGAGCTATATCTAAATCTGAACCGATTTTAGCAAAACTTCTCAGACATCAGTCTGAACCTAATTCAGTATTGGGAGTTTGGTGCATCATTCACAACAAATCGGACGAAACTATATATGGGAGCTATATCTAAATCTGAACCGATTCTAACAATACTTCGCAGACATCAATCTGGACCTAATTCAGTACTCTGTGCAAAATTTTATCTCAATCGGACAAATATTGGGAGTTTGGTGCATCATTCACAACAAATCGGACGAAACTATATATGGGAGCTATATCTAAATATGAACCGATTTTAACAAAACTTCGTATACATAATTATGGACCTGATTCTGTGCGCTGTATTTACATAACCGAATTGATGGTTACAGTCGTTCTATCATCGTTTTCGAAAAATAAGGCCCAATCACATCTTCGGACCAAATAGCGTATCAAACAGTGACTTTTTCTGGGTGTATGGAATCTCTTGAGGATTTTCCATATCGAAAACAACTTAACATTTTTATAGGGCTCCATTTCAAATATTGTGATCTGTATCGTGATTTCAACAGACGGACGGCTACTCATAAATCGACATAGAATTTTATTCTGATCAAGGATATATCGCCACTATAAATGCAAGCGGACGTAACTACACTTTTACTAATTTTACAGGAGAAGCAAAAACGTTATAATATCTATAAATATGGAGTATGGCAGGATTTTTTTTTTTCAAAGTTTGACAGCACTATAGGGCCGTATTTATTTTTTTATTTATTTCAGTTATTTTCTGAAACAAGCGGACGTAACTACAACAAAATTATAGTACAACAAAATGACTAATAATTATCCGATTGAGACTAAAATTTGTACAGCGTACTGGATTGAGTCTAGAGGGATGCGTGTTAAGTTTTGTTAAAATCGGTTCAGATTTAAACTAGCATCCCCATACATATATTTTCATCCGATTTTATGTAAATGATGCATAAAAGCCACTATATTTCTTTCGATTTTCACGAAATTTTGTATAGCGTACTGAACAAAGTCTAGAATGATGCGTGCTAAGTTTCGTGAAAATCGGATCTGATTTCGATATAGCTACCATATACATTTTCGACCGATTTTATGTAAATGTTGCACTAAAGACATAAAATATTTCTCCGATAGCGATAGAACTTTGCACAGGCCACTTTTCCACCCAGTGGTAACTAATTATGTCTCATAAGTTAAAAAAATAAAGAAAAGCTTTAAAATATCGAATTTCGGGTTACCGCTATATGGAGGCTACCGTAGAAAATTGAACGATATATCTCATTTTCAATACCAATCATCCCAGAAGTAACATTAATATACGTTCAGAATTTCTATCTTCAATATTGCGAGTTCAGAATTTCTATCCTCAATATTGCGAGCTTTAGTTTTTTACAGGAGTGTAGTTACGTCTGTTTGCATTAATAAAAACTTACTATTGTAGTTACGTTCGTTTGAATTTCTTTAATTAGATCGCAGTTTTTGACGTTAGATGTCGAAATTTTTGTGTAAACATGAAGTTTGTCCAAAAAGTCCATTTCGAATTATTCTGTAGTTACGTCCTTTGGCATTTATGATGACGAAATTCGCTGTTGCTGTGAAAAAAGTCATTTAGGAGGGGACCCTGAGACCCCCCCCCCCCCTCTGGCTAGGAGGGTGGTTCTGAGGGCCTATAATGGCAATTTACTACCAAATTAGAGTCTTTTCGGTTGTAAAATGTGACTAACACCTTCAATATATAACAATTAGGTG